GGTGTCTCTTGGGTAACGCTAATAGACTCTAAAAAATAAAATAGAAAAAAAATGTGTACCTAAACGTACTGGTGCTCAAATGTGGTATTATTTTAAAAATATGAGGTATCGTGTAACCAAATGTTGCATTTATTTTAGGGGGTTTGAAAAAAAATGTGTTCCCAATCGTTCTCCCAGTTTCAATGTAAAAATATATTTTTGAACGTGTTTCGGCTTTTTTTTTTTATAAATAATCAGTAGGTATACAACTTTTGAAAAATGTCCATAGAGGTGCTATTTTTTATTGGTTTCATTTTGACAATATTTATGTTATAATTTGTATTCTTATTTTTTTTGTGTTTATCAGGTAATAGAACGGTCGTCTATTTTTTTTTTTTACTTTGCCCCCCCCCCCCCCCATATTCCAAAATCCTGGTTACGCCACTGGTACAGTGTACACTCTATGAGGGGTGTCCAACCCGCGGCCCGTGGTAGATTTTGATGCGGCCCTCACTTCAATTTAAAAAACCATAAATTAATATTTAATTGTATATAATAAATTAATATTAAGAAAAAAAATTTATTTTAAAATTATAAAACTAAAAAACATTGAACATCAAATAAAGATAAACTTTATTAGTGTTTTACCTTTATTGGCTCCAATAGCAATATTCCACGTCATTTATCAACAAAAATATGTCTGCTTATTATTCGGTATAGTAAAACTTTAAAGAAAATGTATTGTTGTATTATAGAATATAATTTAATCATTTAATTTGAATGTGTTATTATTAAAAAGTATATGTGGCCCACAACAACTTCTACCCATATGATGTGGCTCAGTCTTCACGAAAGGTTGGACACCCCTGCCCTATATGAACATGCAGTCTCGCCCATACTGCCCACCACAGATATTAAAGGAACTTGTTACCAGAGACTTTATTATTTAGAATTATTATTTACCTACTAATTTGTTTTTTTCCACTTTAGTATTTTGTACGTAGGTACTAAAAATACGGCTCTATGCTTCAGTGCTTCATACAATTGAGATTGCGTTCTAAAATAAGAGACGATTTTAGCTTAGTGCTTACCAAATAAGTAACTTGTATTATTTTAATCAAAATACACGGATGCATCTCATCGACGTTTTTTTCTCTTGAGCGTCTTGAAAATTATTTAATACTTAAGCATATTTTAATTTTTAACGGCTTAAGGAAATCGGCTATAAATTATAATAATGCAATAATTTCCAAAAACTATTTATAGTTTAGTCGCTGTAATGCTGTATAAAGTCCATAATTTTTAACGACATAATATGTAATAAATAAACTTTATTAGACAAGTTAAGCTTTAAAATATAAATAATCGAATCATTTATCAGCGAAAACTCATCAGTCCATAAACGCATAAAATATCAAATATAATTAATATAATATGTATTATGCACCCATATAATATATTATATTTCTAAATTTCCTAAACACAGTTTTGTAGTTTTAATTATCATAGGGTATTTAAAAAAACATACTAACCACCTAATTGGTTAATAATTTGTTTTTAATGATAAACAATTATTAATTAATAAAAGCTATTTAATAGGTATTTAAAATACAGTACTTATAAGTTATAACACAATTAATATGGCTAGCATTTAATTGTAAAAGTGTAGAGATATTTTAAAGTATAAAAATATATTCTTCTATGCTAATTTAATTGGTGTTTGTTTTTATTTTTTATTCTAAAATGTATAGGTACAAATATTTGAAATATTATAATATCTTGCAATTTGTTTGCAACTTGCAAACAAAATAATATAATGTGTGGTCGATTTATAACAACTAGAATGATTAAATTACTTATCCGATAAATCGCTAATATATACTTGATTTCATAGTTCCAAATAAGTATGATAACTATAGTCGAGAGGATGAAAAGTGACCGCTGATGGGCACACTTTTGGTGGTGAATTTTTGTGATAGTTTCGCAGGGCGCGGATTTTAAAATATTAGATTTAGATATAATTACCTAATACAAATGTATTATAGAATGAAGTTGTATATGATTTTTAGTATCCCTGCTTTGCGAAGAAAAAAAAAGGTGGATAACATATCACCAGCGGCCACTTTTCGTTCTCCCGACTATAAAAAGGGTGAGCTTTATGGGCTAAGCCAGAGGTCCAACCGTTTGTTGTCGACGTTAATTTACACATTTATACAAACAAAACAAAAATTTTATTTTTAATCATATTTTATTATATTATATAATACACAAATTATCAGTTTACAGATCAATATTAATTTATAAATTTATAATTATGATGATTAGGTTAGGTACTTAAATTTGTTTAAAATTTGGAATTTCAAGAATTAATGTAACTAATTGTTTTTTTTATACATCATAAGACATAAACACTTTAAAATTATTAAATATATTTACTACTTATGTCTTTAAGGGGGGCCAAAAAAAAGACTGAGAGCAGCTGGTTGGACCACCCTGAACCACTCAAAACACTCAAAAGATTCTTGAAAAATCATCATCAAATATACTACTTCATATGCGTTTTTGATCATAAAATTAAAAATATAATCTTAGCCCCCTCCCCTTCAAAAATGTTGAGCTTGATCTACTTACGTTCCATGAATTGTTTATTGATATCATCTTGTAGTCTTACTAGCTATACTGTGTGGAATTTTATTCTTTGATCTGTATTTTTAATTTTTATACAATTGTATTTTGCATAAAATTGAGAGCAATATTGATTGTATTTTCTGTATATACCGCACGTGTCGTATTCTATCATAGTGTACTATTAAAATATAACTATTTATTTAATGTACTATTAAAACTAAACTAATTTATCCTACATAAAGCCCATAAGCCATAAGGGTATGGTATTATTAAATTAATAATGTTCGAATTTCGATTATTTTTTTATTTTTACACCGAATTGTTAAGTAGCCTATATTGTATTTGTTTATGTTAGATCTTATTTAAGATACATAAATTGCTATTATTATTATTATTTTAAAACTATAATTTAATTTGTTTTCAATGAAATCTTTAAAAAAAGAAATTGATACTTATGTCGCCTAACTGATCATCACAATTGAAAAAATAATTTATTATTTTAATTATTGTTTTAATTACAACCTTGCAAAAATAAAAAGTGTATAGCCTTGAAAAATTATATTATGTCATTACCTATGCATATTACTACTAATATTACGTCTATTTCATGAAAACGTGATCAAATCTTTTCTATGATTACAATAATATTGTTGGTTGGCTCAACCCTAAAAATCTATATTATTTTCATTCGTCTAATTTCATTATTATTAAATATGTATAAAAATATGCTTGTATATAAATCTTAAATAATATACACGATACATAACACTTTCACCGAGTTTAGTGAGATATTCAACAGTCAACATACAATCTATGTGTCCGGTATTTTTTTATTTTTAATACTTTATATTATTTAATAACTACTTAAGTTTTTTTTATCGTTTAATTCTTATGGCATAATACGCTCATCTATTATGTTTAATTTAGATTTTAATATTGTTTTAATTGAATGCTATTGAATCGTTATAGGATTATTTAAAGTTCTAATGATATGATATTTTTAAGTAGTTATAATTTTAATAATTAATCGAGTAGTATGCATTAAATTAATCTCTAAAGATTTATTCGTAAAATCATAACAAAAAAAACTGGGTATTCTAAGAATGGTGGTTTTTTTTTTTTTAATTCCATCCAAAAAACTTATGTGAAATTCTGAATTACATTTACAAGCTTTTTAATGACGGTAATTTTTTACTTTTGCCCCATTGAAATGCCATCTGGTTTCAAATTATTTTTATTCAATTACTCGTTTAAAGTCAACTGATATTTATTTGTACAATATTATGTATATCATTAAAATTGAATAGCTAAATTTTCATTCTGGATTTCTACATATCACACTCCATCCATGTCCAAGACTGACACATAAATTATATAATACGATACTTCAGGTACTTGTCTGACACAAATATTCGTTACTTTCAAAAATCATAATATATATTACGGCAGTAAAAAACAATAACAAACGACTGTACTTTTTTATAAACAACAGGTAGTACAACGGCCAACAATAGTATTAGTTATATTTCATGAACTAAAAATATCAATATAATAAATAATAATAATATTATAGGTACATGTATATAATAATATATGTTATATACTTACAACCATACAGCATGTCCTTAATAATAATATTGATAGCTGATATAAATATTCCGCTACTGTACGCACGCTTTTTTTAGATGACCTAAAATATGAGCCAGCGAGTATAATATATATATTTATGTATACTGCACATGTTCAATAATAATAATATGGTAGTCGTTTGCGGTCGTTTTCGGGGAGGGGGAAACAGTTCGCCCCACACCAGGCGATCGTTCGTATTTTTTCCTTTACACGCGTGCGTGTGCGGCACTGCGGCGTTAGTGGACACGATTCACAAAGTCTGCCACTATACTATTGGATTGGGTTTTGGGTCTTCGTTCGGCATTCCCGTACGCGTCCGCCACGAGCACGGTCCATCGACGACGCGTTCCCGCCAGTTTTTTTGTGTTTTTACAATAATATTGTTTTTTTTTTTTGGAATAATAAATAAATTGTGGTCATCACACGTATTATTGAAGCGTCTATGCACTTGCGGTAAAACCGGCATCGTTCACTTCGATCATCAGCTGCTGCAGTGCGTTATCATCGCGGTCTCAACCGTTTTAATAATAACGATCGTTTTTCCCTCGATCCATCAGGTCCTCCAACCCCCCGAGTGTCAAACGTTTGTTCGTCGGGCGATAACCGTGTGCAGTTCGAAAACACGTTCCAGTATACCATACAAATATATTATTATTATTATTTATTCCGATTGTTGCCGCTGATGCGAATTTGTGTCGAGTTTTCTACCGTTTGCGCCGCCGTCGCGTCGCGAAGACAAAATTATTCAAACGTAGAAATATAATATGAGAATGAGCGACATGACCGTGTGCCCTGTGGCCAGCCGACAATCGTTCTTCGACTCGTTCACCGTCGTCTCCAAAGCCATCGGACAGTTAGAAAAACTTATGTCCGGCAAAGTGAGTTGACGTGATTTCATTATTATTATGATAATTGACAATCCTACTGTTTGTAAATTCGTTGGGTTGCACGTTATTATTATTTATTCTGGGTGCGTGATACAACTGCAGCAGTCGTGATGTGTGAACGATTATTATTTATTAATCAATATTATAATATTATTAATACATGATTGCGCTCAAGGAAAATATTATCGCGGTAAATACCCGAAAATGCTTTATTTTTAAACACCCCTTCCCATGACTTTGTTGTATAATATTGTATTGTATTATATTGGCGTTGTAGCACAATCGCGGTAGTACAAATCAAACAGGTGCAGACTGTGTATACTATAATATAAAATATTATAGATATTAGCATTACCACGTGCCTTTAAAATTAAAATAACTGACAAGTATTTATTTTATGTACGCACGACTGCACGAATCCCCCGATTTTTCAGCGATGGGTAGCCTCGTTCAACAGGTATGTGACATTGTGAAGTTTACTTACATTAAAATAATGCCGACCGTAATTTCGGTACAAACCGCTAAACCGACGTGTCCTAAATAATGTTCATTAAAAAAACTATGCATTATAAAACAACCGCCTTTAGATTATTATAGTATAAGTATAGAGTATAATATACACATTTTAGCCTTGGTTCTTGCATAACACCAAGCGCTAATCTGATAATATATAGACTGGGTATACGTTAATTTAATCATATTCGCAAGTTTTTTAAATAAATATTCATGTATAATATATTATATGTACCTATACTAAAACTGTATTTATAAACTAGAAATTTACACAGCGATACGATTTTTTGGTTGTTTTCTCTGCAATTTATTATTACGCTTGCAATTTTTTTCATCGTAAATTACTGATGTTTTTGTATACACGTATAAACGTGTTCCGGGTAGTACATCCGTACAGATACTATGTCCTTACCAAATACAATTTTCACAAGTATGCATAATATAATGTGATATCATATTTTGTCCGTTTGTCGAACAAAAGTGTTAACGCGTTCAAAAGTGTTTCTTTCACTTCGTATCTTCGGTTCTCTCGCGATCACCTCGTGTACAGCAAAAAAATTATAAACAGAGAAACACACGTTTATGGGGCCTCACTGATTTCAAAGTACACAATTTGGAATTTTGACCCAGGTCCGTTGTTCAAAATAAACACATCCGGTCGAGACAGTGATGTCAGCGACGCGCGTGTATCGATTTCCCATCCGTTTCGTCGTTGGGTGTTCCCTTGAATTTTAATCGTATGATACCTACGTATCTATTATAATTTATAATCATATGTAATAGCCATTTCTCCGATGTAGGTACTCCCAAGTTCCAACGGTGTTGATCTCTGCTGCACGTCTTTACAAGGACTCGTCGGCTCTAGACCGCCGTTAGATTTTAAAACAATAATAAAGTATACGTTTGTATTTAAATTTTTTTTTCTACTTGTTTTTAGTAAAACAATAGACTCGTCAGATGACAAAAACCTTGACTGTAAATTATATTATTTTTATATTATGTCAATAAACGCTTTAGGTACCACTTTATATCATATACATAGTACTTACATAATACATAATTTGACTTTTTTACCAATATTTTTTAATACCAGATTTGTGTTAATTACCTTATGAGTAGGTAATCTTTATGATATTTTAAGATATAAATTCATATGACTACCGGAAATCCATCCTTATAGTTATGAATTATGATATAATAATATGATATTTTCAACTTATACCTAATTATGATAGCAACTATCTAACTTATATACTTAAATTGAGCTCTATTATTTCTTAAATTCAAACGAGTACATTCTTTGCAGTTTGCAGTTATGGTATATTTTTTATGTATATCATACATTTATTATTAAAATATTTGGTTTAATAATCATAATTCTATGATTCTATTATAAAAACATTCTAATAAATTTTAAATATAAGTATAGGTACCTATTTAACAAGCTACAAATCCGAATGTTGTGTAATCGATCCTGAATACGTTAAGTATTATTGTCTTATAATTTCTTAATAAAAGTTGTCAGTTTATATTAATTATAATATCTATATCATCAACATACGTATATGGATATTTATTTTTAATATATGATGTTTTACATTTTTAACTGGTATATTAAATGTATACGTCGTTTGTATGCATGTATGCTGAAAAAAAGTCACTTTCGCGTGTTCTTAAAGAGTTAAAAAAAAAGGTTATGTTGTATTATATAAACTACAAAGCCATAAAGGCTTAAATTATTCAAATCATGTGCATTCATACCTCGATTCATACCATCGTTTATGGTCATTGGTTTATAATATATAATATATATTATTATGTAACATGAGTTAATTATAATTTATAACTGTGCAATGCAGTGTCATAACAATTTTAATTTGTACCACGGTATAATATTCTGTATTGACTATCTTAAATTTTGGTATCATAACTGGCACAGTGGCACGAAGGATAATGTACCTATTAACACAAACGGAATTATAGCAATCAAAATGTAACCTTAGTAGGTACCTATCTAAAATATTCGCACGAAAAAGGACTTTTTGTATTTGTATAGTCTTGTATTTCTCTCGAAAAGTGATTTTAATTGTTTTATTATTTTAACTTTTAAGTGACCATTATATGGCATGACTCAATAATACCTGTGTAATAATACAATAGGATGTTGGAAATTACCATAGATAATCACAAATAATAATAACTGTCATATAAATGAATGGCATTTCCTAATAAATGATAAAACTGAATACAAATTAGAGGTACTTACCTAATATTTAACAGAGTCACAACTGTTTTTTACGTCATCACAACTTATCTAGATACATATTATTATGTTTTCTTGGTAAATAGTAGGTACCTATATAATATTATATACACTACAAGCAAAGGCTAATTTTATTTTCCCTGTTTGCATTATACCTGTTTAAAATACCCAAGTATCTTAAAACTTATTTTTATATTAAAAATATATTTTGTAATTTTATTAACTAAATTCTACATATTGCAATTAAATAAAGGTATGTCAATTATTAGGTAATTATAAAAATATGTTCCATATTCAATAGTAATAAATAAGTAGTATTTTAGTACTATTTATACAAATTACGCATTATACCTATCTATTTTCCTTATTTTACGATTTGGAAATATATTTCAAATTATACGATCTAAAAATCACATAATTTCTTCAAAAACATGTTGAATTTAAAAAGGATTTACCATTCTGTGATTAAAATTCTGAGCCTGGTATTTTATTATTTTCAAATTATGAATGATGAATATCTTTTTTTCATTAAGAAAAATGATTGTACGTACCTACGTCATTTCAGGTGGAATTACTTATTGTCAGTTAGATAAATCTTTTTATTCCGGTAATTTCACTATTGCTTATTACATTTAAAATTATATTATGAAATAATATTTCATATAAATCAACTTTTAAACTTTTAATGTAAGTACCTACTTATTTATTCTTTTTTTACCATATTTATATATATTATGTAGGTACATTGATAAATGGAGCTTTGTTATCTTGAAATTTTAATACAACATTAATCGATTCCTTTTATTTCATTATGTGTGTGTGCATATTTCATGTACTTAAATGATATGTCTGTACATTTATATTTTTAAAATATTTATTTATACATTTCTTATATCTCAACTCGCATCCATATCCCCAAAAGAGATTAAAAAGACAGTGGTGTCGTGATCTACTCACAAGAGTATATAATTCATTTTTTGTGAAAAAAAAAATTTAGGTAAATGCAAGTGCTAATAAGTTAGCTATTATAACTATCTATTGACGAAGTACCACTGGGAGGTCTCTTCACTCTGTTTCCTGCGTACTTAAAAAATATTATCAATTAGGCTAATTGTTCAAATTTTGTAACAGATTGCCTAATAGAAAGTTATGATAAAAATTAAAACTGATATATGTAGTTTTATAGTTTAGTTAAGTATATTTTTTATTTATTGATAATCTTAAGTATCTGGTAGGTATCAACATTTGTTTATTTAGTGTTTGACTATTTGCGTGGTTTAATGCTATATATTTACCCTATTTCTAACTTATAAATTATTTATTAAATACAGTTACTTAATAATAATAGTCTCAGTGGCGTGGTGAACATTAATATAAACCGTGACGCAGAGAATATATTTCAGTACCTACCCACTCGTAATCCCCTATAATGTATTTTAAATATAATTACTACGCGACGGCAAATATTTTTATTTTTATTTTATCGATTGTCATAAATCATTATGTACCTATCCAACCTGTATTTAATGTTACGCCTTGTATGACAAAACTTGTGAGCACTACCTACGTATTTTTTTTCTGAATTTTTTTGTAATAACATAAGTTACGATTCAAAATCATTGCTTATCTTTGAAACTTTGTATTTGCATCATTAATCGTTTAAATATTTATAAGATCGTTAACAGTTTTTTGGTGTTCATAAAATGCTATTATATTGAATGATTTTAACGCCATAATAGTAAGTCTTAATATGTAGAACAACACTATGGCTATAGGTGCTACTTAACGAAATGTACTTTCTTTTTCTATATAAACTGTATTTCATAAGAATTTTATGAATATCATTGATATTGGATAGTAAACTAAAGAATTTAAGAAACTTGTCTTCAATCAGATGATAAAGAGAAAGTCCATTGAGGTCAGTGGCCTATGAAAACAATGAAATTGCACCACTTTTTTTTATTCTTTTATGCGTTTGACTTCACTGAAGTTACTTTTTGGCTGTGTTATAAACGTACAATAATTATTACAGAAAATAGCAGATTGTGAAAATTAAAAAAATAATATTTGTTGAGAGTGTGCAAAAATTGAATAGGTATTACTGTAAACTTTTTGTCTAACACTGAAACACAATATGCGAAAACAGCAATAAATTCTAAAAATAAATGAAGCATGTTAAGTCTGAAATGTGTTGTGACGTCAAAACATTGAACGTTTACTTATGCTGAATTTTGCATAAGAGTGCATATAAAATAATTTTCAATTAGGCACTTTATACACCCAGTATATTATTAAAATGTGTTTCGAAAAGAACATGTCGAAAGAGGAGGAGATCGGTTATTGGTTATCGGCGTATGCTTATTATTAATGTCTATAGAACCCTTATTACTAATAATAAATAATAATATAATAAACTCATTTAACGAGTAATCGTCATGTATGTGTAAACACGTCTTGGGGTCATGGTGGTCTTATTATTTATATATTTAAATCGAAAACATTTCAACTTTAAATTACAGAATCGTTCCTGACGCACTTCTCATTAGACGATACTGGTATTACATACATTGCACTGTTTGTTATACATAAGGTATAAGGTATACAAATGTATATGTATTTGGTAAGCGTACGTGCACACTCAAATAATATAATAATATACACATGTGGACTTACATATGAGAGTATTTAGCATAATATTGAATAGTACTGTAAGTATAAATGAAAGTATCGAATCGAATTAATTGAAAATCGTTAAATTAAATAAATATACTTGTGCAAAGGTATATAAGCAGACATTAAGTTCATCATCGTAAAAATTACGCGTCTTATTAAAATTGACTCTAAACACGCTACAGTGAATATATTCATTTAAAATATAGTGATTTATTTATTGCATATTACCATATAATTATGAAGGTTTATAAACTTTAAATGTCATGCATTCTTGAAAAACCAGAATCTCATATTTTATCACGACTCGACAAATTTGTCAATGTGGAAAGTTTAACATAACATACAATTGTATGTATAAATACAATATAAGTTTGAATATCAATAGATTTAATTACCTACACTCTAATAATACTTGTTAACGGACAACCGCAGTAAACAAAGATCTTGACTAAGACCGTTAGGGTTGAACGGTTACTTTGATATTTAAAATTGTATTATTATATTACTGCACATTCAAATAATTGGCTGCAAATAGTTGATTCATTCAATTTAGATAAAGATTTGAATGTACTTAACAGAAACATATTCAATTGACATTTGACATCTGTCTGGTCCGGATAATATATTATATAAACTTAACTCAATCGACATAAAATCAGCATTTATTACTATATTATTTTTATGTTTTTAATTAAATTACTATTATTTTATTAATTATAATATTATTAATTTTATTAAAAAAAAAATTTTTTTTAAAAATGCTGATATTGTGTCGATTGAGTCTATATTACCGGTATATTTTCATAACCAGAGCAGCGTTCCTTATCACACTATATAATATTATATATTTATATATATATATATATATATATATATATATTTATTTATTTATCTTTTTAAACGAACGTGATACACACGTGGCCACGTGATGTGATTTTATAATATTATTATTATTGTTCACCTCCAATTTACCTTTTTGTTTTCGTTTCCTTCGTTTGACCGCAAACCCAAAAGTGCATTTAAATCATATTTTTTATCGTCATTTTTCCGTTAAGTATAACAACAAATAGAAACTTTAACCTTGGTTGTTATATTATCGTTGTCGCTGGTCCTTATATCATTCGATCCGATGATTTGTCATATACATCATGCTTATACAGTGCCGTTTATTATTATTTATTAATATTCACACCACACGTGTTTAAAGTTGTAATTTTTTTTTAATTAATTTCTTTTGAAATCTATCGTTTGATGAATACGTAAGTTTTGTTATTATAATTGTTTTTTAGATTTGAGGTACGTTCGTTTGAAGTGAGATTGATATAAAACACATGCTGCTGCCCCATGGCATATTGATCATTTCCTCGTTGTATATTTCGTATTATTCTGTGTATAATTCAGCCTAGTCTTCAAAAACGTGAAACAACGTCAGTTGTCATTTTATTGTTTATTTCTCACAGCTTGCAATCGTATTGTACTTCCGACTACTGATATTTACAAATTACAATGCATAGATAGGTATTATTCGTTATTGTAAACTCGAAAATAATCGCACAGAAATGAATAATTATGCACGTGCGCTAAATGACACATATCAATCTACCTAAATGTTTATTATTTTTTTATAGTTGCTTCTTTATGAGCTACAGTTTGTAACACTATAGGTGTATAGTAAACTAATATAATTTATAATGTACATTAATAGATCAAAGGTTGACGTTTCGGCTTTTATTAATTATAATAATTGGTTGTGTATTTAAAATTATTATATTGTATTTTGTTCGTTCATTTCAAGCTAAATTTATGCATCTGTAATGCAATGTTGTAAAATACAAAAGACAATTATTTTATTATTAACTAAATTATTTTGTATAACTGTTGATATGTAAATAGTTTGTTCAAATTTCTATTAATAGGTATTAGGTACTAGCTAATATTTTTATTATTTTAAGTTTAATTTTTCTACAATCGATTTGGCCATATCAATGTATTGCTTTGATGAGTTTAACATTTTATATTTTATTCGTGTATATTATATTCTACTCGGGCATAGTTATTATTATGATTTTATAGAATAATAAAGTGTTTATTGTAATTTGTAATGATTAAATGCTTTGATGTTTATGCATTTTGGATTCGTTTATTTTAACTGTATAATATATTAATATTTTAATATTATAATAATAATATAATCAGAATTATTTGTGGGTTCGAATATCGAAAGTTCTATTAAGAATTGACCACGAACATTTTTATCGTAATGATAATGGAAGGTTAATGAAATAATAACATTTTAACGACTACTTTCAAATAGTTTTGTTGCTTGTATAATCATATTTGCCAAGTTAATATTTCATATTTTATAATTTATGATGTGTTTTAGTCTATATCGAACAAAGGCGTACCCCGTGCCACGTACTTAATAACTAAGCAATAAGCATGTTTTTGAATACCTAACACTCAAAGTTTTTATATTTATTTTGTCCTAGCAGGCCTGATGGATATACTAAATTATAAAGTGATTAACTGTTAGTAACTGCGAGTTTGGAGGGCCAGTGCCCATCAATGTATAATAATAGGCTCTAATTTCCACTTATAATTACACCAAGTCTGCAGCAAGTCTCCATTCCGATATGCTCGCGGCTGTAACCTAGGCCCGTGCACATCGCATACCGCAGTTTGTACAAAAACACCTCAGGTTAACCATTTTTCTGTCACAAGTAAAACAAACAATTTGAGTAATGATCACATATTTTTTCGCTGTGGAAACTAGCGGGTATATGCAAGACTACAGACCAAAATATTATAAACTATGGTCGGTAAATAAATTGCTTAAATCGTAATACTCGTATTACGTATTATAATATAGAAATAGTTGAAAAACAAGTGTACTCGTTCGGAGTTATTAAACAATATTAGCTGACATGACAATAATAATTGTTCTCTAATGTTGGTTTGCAAAAGTCATTAAGTATTAATAAATAATGTCTCGTAAAGTCGTATAAGTTAATTTTAAACGCTATTTCATTTATGGTTCAAGACGGAAAATGATATCGACTAATATTAATATTTAATGCTATTCACACTACCGAATCTCCAAAACCAACAGAGACTACACCTTTCTATGACTATTGGTAATTCGATCACGTTCTGTGATGAAATTCATGAGCATTCTGAGTATCCTCGTGGGTATCCATTCGGTTCGGTACCTAGCTATTGCAAATAAATTTATAAATAGATTTTGAAAACGTTTAATTATTATTCTTGGCATAACACAATTTTCGTCGAGCATTCCGAGGGGTCTTGAGAACAGTAACAATAACAATAACAACACCACTGTGAAACATCAAACACAAGTCACCACGTGACTGACGACCACTTCGTTGAAAACTCGTCGTTTTTTACGTGCCAACGGGCAACGAAAACAAAAATTTCTTGTGCGCGTAATGTAGGTGTATTCAATGACGTACGAAATTTAAAAAAAAATAAAAAGTAACAAAAAAAATATTGTGTGAATATATAAATGTGAATCCGATTCACGACTATTTAGTATACATAAAATATGAGGTTTACCTTGACCGTATGAATCTTGTCGGTAAAACGTATATACATTTTGCTATTAGAATTCCAAGGGCTTCGCAATGTGTGTTCATTAGTATGGAGGCGACAGTATATTAGATACATGTATAGGTATATATATGTTATGGCTTTGTACGTATTTTTATTTTGGATGAGAAAAAGCGGAAATTGACAGTGCCGAGAATCAATATAGTGCCGCCGTGTCGGTGTAAAATATTGTATTATTGTCTCTATACGTATTCACTCACTCGTATTATATTGTATATAAAAATACATATTTTAGTTTGTCACGCCACTAACGCATATTTCAGTTCATTAGGGTCTTGCAATATTGTAATAATTGTAAAATGTGTCGATAATAATGTTTGGAATTTTTTATTTTTTAGCAAACCGAAAATGAATGGAAGAGCTCGCAGTGCAATTCTGTGACTTCGTCGGCCAAAAAGAACCACAAGAAAGAAAACTCGCTGTTGAAATTCTTGGCTTTGGTATGTATATAATAATATACTCGTCGATCATAATAAAAAAACCGTTTAAATTCTCATAGTCATATCGGCGGGATGATATTAAATTGTGTGGTTTAATTTTTTTAGAACGCTCTTGAGTTGAGCGCACCCGCCAGTGATGTATTGCTGCGCAACAACAGCACGGCCGGGACGGCAACTGATACCGAAGTGCGAAGTGTCAAGTCTCAGGAAACAGCGGCCACCAACGTCCAGTCGGCCACCTGTAGATCGGCCGCGGGCGTCCCGCAACAACAGTCGTGGTTCCAGCTGTCCGGACATCCGGACTGTTTCGCACCCGCCGGTCTGGGCACGATATGGAAGAAGTGCAGTGGCGGCACCGAGCGAGACGTGTACGAAGCCCTTTCCAACGAGCCAAGTCTTCAGGACATCGTGCCCAAGTATTACAGGGAAGTCGAGTACAACGGACAGACGTTCATCGAGCTGCAAGACCTGCTGTACGGCTTCCGGGACCCAAACGTCATGGACATCAAAATGGGCACGCGCACTTTCCTCGAGTCGGAAGTGAAAAACTCCTCGGCGCGACAAGACCTGTACCTCAAGGTGAGACCGTGATCTAGTGACATTAATATTAGGATCTATTCCAATAACGAGAAATGTGCTAAACCGATTTTTCACTCTTCGTCTAGATGATCGCCGTGGATCCCGAAGCACCGAATGCCGAAGAACGCGAGTTGCAAGCGGTCACAAAACTACGATACATGCAGTTCAGAGAAGAACAGAGTTCAACGTGCAGTCACGGTTTTAGAATTGAAGCTATGAAGGTAAAATTATATACCTACATTTGCCGGTGCATTTAAGCATTTTTCATTTCTGTTTTGACCGTACTAACTGTCATTAATAACGTTACAGTTTCGAGGTTCTCCACCCGTAACGGACTTGAAGACTGTGAAGAGCGACGAAGAGGTGAACAACACTCTTGCTTTGTTCCTGGGTGACCGCCATGACATCAAACAAAGGCTGGTCGCCAGACTGAATGAAATACGGTCGAAATTGGATCGTTCTCATTACTTTAAAACTCATGAGGTAAGTTGGGTGACACGTAACGTGTACTTATTGTTTTATTTGTCTGTCAACCGCCTACAAAATCAATGTGTTATTACAGATTGTGGGTAGCAGTATCTTGATTATATACGACGATACTAAGATCGGCGCTTGGCTGATTGACTTTGCCAAAACAAGACACGTACCCGAGAGCACAGTACTTACCCACAGACGACCATGGGTGCCTGGAAACCACGAGGAGGGCTTCTTATTCGGTCTCGATCATCTCATAGAGGTAAGTTTATCATGTTCAAAAATGTTAATCATGTTGATACATTGCTAACAATTTGATTATCTTATTACTTTCAGTCAACTGAGAATTTACATACACCTGTCTCAAAAGATTCTGTAGCGCCGTCGAGCTCTATTAAAGTGGAAACTTGAAAACTTTGTTCTTCAACTTTCTTGTGGAATTCATCTAGTCAATAATATTTTCACCTACACTACACCGAGACAAACGTGGTTCACATCCTCGTTACTATCACGTGTTAAAATTTGTACACGATAACTATTTTTTTTTCTTTCGTTCTTAAAATAAATTTTAAGTGGTAGGCATGTATAAATAATACTATGTTGTTTTTTTTTTTTAATATTAATTCAGTCAGTGTTGACTGACGCGACTGATTTTGCCTGAGCATTTGTAATCAGAGAACTCATTAAAGATGCGTGAGAAAAAAATGAATTATTAATTTGGCTTTATACTCATACTACAACAGGTTTATGTACCTAAATTCTCGATTCACTTATAATAATTGTCCAGTATTAACATTGTATAAATATTACGCATTTTTATTTTTAACTTTTTTTTGTATTTACATAATATACATTTATTTATATGTACATACAATTGTTTGTTTTTTTTTTTAGTGAAAATATCAATTTGAAAATAAATACTGTTTATAAATTATTCAGAGAAAAAACTTTAAATAATTATCTGCAAATATCTATAGTCGTTATATATTTTCATACTACAAATCAATTGAATCATAATTTTATTTTTATGGTGTATTATATGTCATGTGAAATATATTAACGTAATTTAATCATTTTAAGTAGATCATAAACATTTAGTGATTCTTTAAACTTAGATTAGTTAATTATTGAATATTGCTATACTATTCTTTCTGTTTTCCATATTACAGTAAGTTCTCGTTACAACGAACTCCAAGGGACCACATTTTTTTTTCGTTATAACGGAAATTTTGTTGTAAGGTCATTAGAAAAGCTTAATAGCTTTTCTGTAGGGGACTTCTAGGACTTTTGTTATAACGGGATTTTTCGTTGTATCGATATTCGTTGTAACGGGAACTTACTGTAGTATTATCCTTATAGTAGTTAACTGAAATAGTTAACTTCTAAACTTATTGTCAAAGTACAATTATTTTTACCAGAAACGACTGGTGCAACCGTGTCCATACCGAAAAAGACTGGTTTGGACCGAAACAATAAATAAAAAATTTTTTTTTTAGGAACTGTGAAACCAATTTTTGGCGATAGGTAACCTACCCATATATTTTGATATATTTATAATGAATAGTAGTAATAAGTTATAATTAATAATAATTATAAAATCATAGATCTATAAGTAAGTCAGTCTTGTAAAGTACTTGAGTAAAAGTATTCAAATACTTTTTAAGTACTCAAATAAGTATTCTAAATACATTTAAAAAATGTACTTGGGCACAGTATTTGAATACTTTTTTGAAAGTATCTGTATTTAAAATCAAATACTATTTTAAATACTTTTTTACTTACTTTAATGACAAGGACGTTAAATTTAAATAAAATAATACAAATTTGAAATTGTACAACATTTTTATATATGTACTAAATATCCATGTAATTGAATGTAATATGTAGTCCGTCAACTTCCTAATAAAATTGGAAATACCTTTACTCGAATTAGGTATGTAGTATAAAACATAACGATAGTCGATAGTTAATATATTATATCATTTTATTTAATATTTTTTAATATTTAAAACTAGTTAGTGCTAATTTAAAAAAATAATTCAGTTTACTAATGATTCAAATTTTGATTCATCTATATAAGATTAAAGATGACCTTATCATTAGGCCAAAGTAAAAATTAAAAAACATTTAAAAAAAAAAAAAAGTAATTGAAAGTATTTGTAAATACTTTTTAAAAGTATTTGTATTTGTACTTAAATACTTTTTTGACCAAGTATTCAGATACGTTTTTTAAATACTTTTAAAGACAAGTATCTGTATCTGTACTTGAAAAGTATCTTTTACAAGACTGAAGTAGGTACATCAATAATTATTAGAATATTATTATTTTTGTAGTACCTAATAGTAACCTTACCCATGTATCCTTACGGCTATATAGTTATAAAACAAAGTAATATAGGTAAATCGTAAATTCCAATTTCCATGTAATAGACAATAAGACAGTAGGTAACTATTAGATATTATCATAGGCATAATCTGGGATAAATTCTTAAAACTCAAAATCTATTATGTAAATTACACCATTGCTCGATCAGTTAAATATCTGAGGGGGCAGTTGCCCCTCCACCAACCCAGATTGTGCCTATGACTATTATTGTATCAAAGTAAATATAGATTGCAGATACCTACTCTGCAACGAGGATGCCAGTAGCAATGTAATATTTTAATGACATAATATTCATTACCTATTACTTCTGGAAATAATAATTAATAACAATTCATTTATGTATTATAGTCAGGCTAATATTCTATAGTACTGGAAGTCAATGTCACAGAGTCAATATTTCCAGAAATATATCATAGTTTATCTTCCGTTCCGGCACCGCAAGTTAGGGCCGAAAAATGTTTTTTACGGTTTACATGTAGTTGACATTTATATTATCGCCTTACATGCTATAAATGTAACATACCATCCATAAGCCTAGAATACCAGTAAGTTACCTATTATAGTTCTAACAAATATATTATTTGAAAAAAAATTATTCAAAAAGATTCCTTAAGAGCAAATCTATATTTAATCTATATGTTTTACATGCATTGTATTGATATTTTAACATATTATATTAATAATTAATAAGTTAAACTATTATTAATTATTTATGAATTTTGTATCTCTCACCTTAATAAATGTATACTAAAAATTATAGTATAATACAGATTATGTTTCCATTATAGGTATGTAGTAAACAGTGGCGGTTCCAGGGCTTAATTATGTGTTAAAAAAACCAAAAATCTTAAAATTTAACATGTTAAAGGTTTTTTTTTATATAAGCCCAAAAAAAAGTTGTGATTTTAGAAATGTATTTTTTATTTTATTTTATATACAAACGGATGCAAGTCCTTTACAATATTTTATGCGCAAGCACGCTAATAATAAAACATGATGTGGGGGACGGAGTGACCAAGCGGACCAAGGTGCCAGCCCGAGTTCAATACCGGCCGCGGACGGCATTTTTCTTCGGGCAAGTCACGGTATCCGGAGAACAAGTGCCGCCATCCCCCACCCGGGGCATGGCTGAAACCTACGGGTGCCCCATTAGAAATTCTGCCACAACACATACACATGTAACTAACCTATCCAATATAAAAACTCACAGTTCCATCCCCACACCCAATGGCCTATGTTGAGCAGGTTATCTAATAAAAAAAAAAAAAAAAAAAAACACGATGTCATAGGAATGACAAGATTACAAACTAAGATACATAATACAGTTATAAGTTAAAAATTAAGACAAAGAGAACGTAAAAGGTATATACAACAAAGAAACAAATAATATATTATTCTAAATACTTTTAAAGTTTTAACTTTTGTCAACAGAATTCCTGTAAGATATATGTACTTTAAAATTGTACGAAAATACAATTGTGAAGCTTAAGTTGCTCAAACCAAGAAAGATCAGAATCCTCACCACCAAACCTAAAGAGAAACTATTTTGCCCACATACTATGGTTAAGATATGATGGATCGCACAGCGATTATCCTACTAAGTGATTTTGTAAGATGTGCTTGAAATTTATACTGAGCAAAGCTGTTGAAAACCATTTGACCAATTGCAGTGAACAATCTAACAGAGCTCCACTAATGAAAAAGTTATAGTTCATCTAGTCTTATTTTTTTATTAATTATTATCAAACATGAAGTTAAAAAGTTAATTTATTTTTATTTTGTTGAGAAATGATGATACTCGTTACTTATGTAAGTATTGCAACAAAAAATAATAATAACAATATTATGTACAATGTACCATGTTTGATAAGTACCTTTTTTATTTTTGACATATACATTTTAGAAAAAACCCTTGGCCATGGGTAACTATAGTCTATTCCACGAGAGAATAATCAGTCCGCCGACCAATTCTCGTCAGGGCCGCACATCCCCCACCAACTTCCCTGTGTTAACGTGGTTCTCGACGCACCAATCAAATCATTTGTGATGCGCGAAAAGTGATTATTCTCTTGTGGAATAGACTATAGCATAGGCGTATACACACCTTCCTACGGTGGCGCCTAGGAAGATATGTTCAACAAAATTAGGTAGATAATATCTTTATTTACCATGTATTGTCAAATTGATGTCCCGACTTCGGAAATCGGAAAAACCTACTACCTATAACGAATTGAAACAGACAACGACGGTACGGTATTCATCTAAGTATTATTGATATTATGTTTGATTTGTAGCTAGGTGGTGTAATCCAAGGCTGTAGATGAATAATATTTCTGAAGTTACTGTAGATTGTAAATAGATAATTTAGGCTTTTTTTAAGTTATATAAATATTTCATTGTGGAGTGGGAGGGGGGCTTAAAAAAATATGGCTTTGGGTGTTAGGGCTTTTTTTCGGTTCACTAATAAGGTAGCGCCGATCATTAGCTAGGCTGCCCCTGCCGATGAAGTCTAGTCACGCCTATGGACTATAGTATACAATATACATATATCAAAAAATGGAAATCATGTAATTATCATTGTTGTCTATGACACCATTTCAATAGTAATTAATAGTATTAATGGATTAAATAAATAATTATGTAATAAAAATCAAATTATATTATGCTGAGTAACATAAGGTTGCAGAAATAAAATCTATAAAAAAAATAAAATTTAAAATAATTGAATCAATTCAAAACATAATTCAAAGTTAAATATATACAGACATAATTCACAAATTACTATGAATTATTCAGAATTGAACAAATGCAGGCTGAAAGGGCTTATCAAAAAAAAATAATATCTAATATAAAATTAAAAAAAATACTAATAAATCAAATGCTTTTAAATGGACTGCTCCTCAGGTTTTTTGTCATCTTCTTTTCTTTGTTCTGTTATTGCAGAACCATCTTCAATTTCCATATCTGATTCTTCAGATTCCAGACTACTGGACGAGTTTTCGTGGGACTCTAAGTGTTTTTTTAAGGTAACACGCCTTTGAAATACCTTTTTGCAATATTCACAAATGTATTGAGTCACTTCATTTCTAAGCAAAATAAAAATAAATTAATTTTTTACATTATGTATGATAATAATTAATAAAAAAATATGACTGAACTATTACTTTTTCATTTGTGGGGGAGGCATTGCTCTGTTGGATTGGCCGCTACAAGTGTTCAAGTGGGTTTTGACGGCTTCCTCGCTTAAGACGACCTTCAGACACATTTTACAAACCCACTTCGTTGGGTAATCGCTATGTGATCCGTCATACCTTACCATCGTGCGGGGACAAAATAACTTTTCTTTTGGTTTGTCGACTGGGGCTCGAATCTTTCTTTTTTTGCGTGACTTACAGTTTACAAAAGGATTTTTCGGCATATTTAAAGTACAGGAATTCTGTTGACAAAAGTTAAAACTTTAAAAGTATTTAGAATAAAATATTAGCTCAAAATCAAATCTAAGGAAAATGCAGAGACCAATTTACTTATTTACTGATACTGTATCAGCATGCCAAAACTGAAGACAATATAATTTTACAGCCACCAGTCAAATGCCAGACTGAGTAATTAATAGAGGTATTCCTAAAATATATTTCTACAATTCCATCCTCAGCATTAGTAAGGCAATACAAGTTTTAACACCTAGGCGTAATAGGTTAAATGATAGAACTTTTAAAATAATTTGATGTTGTAGATAAAACATGGTTTGAATATTATTATCATTTTAAAAGCATTTAATATTATTATTTTTTTAAACGTTAGCTAATAGCTTATTTTTATTATTATTAAATTAAGTCAGAGAATGACTTTTTATATTATGTATTTTTTTAAAAATGAATACTTATATCACTGAATATTTGCAAAATTAAACATGAAATTATCAGAAATTTATCTAGACAAAAATGTATTAATTTTTAGCTTATATCTAGATAAAATTTAGTATAATTATCTCTAATTTTATCTAGATACAATTTAGTACTGTTACATTTATCTTTATCTAATAAATGATTTATTTTTCTTTGATTCATATGTTTTTATTCAATCTGTTGCAAAAAAAGAAGAACAATAAGAACAATTGATGGTTTAGGTTAAAAATAAAAAGGCAGATTAGACGGAGTGTAGAGGCCTCCCTCCGGAGGTACTACGACATGAGTAAGACTTTAATAAATTATTAGTGATCTATTCCAAACATTGTACATTAGATAATTAGGTGTATTGTAGCGACACTACGGTTAGTGCACTACTCCCGACCAATGGAAATAAGAATTCTATGTAGGTATCTACTATAAAGTATTTATAAATATCATAGGCGTTACAATATTATTATATTTATTATTTTAAATACTTACAATAAATGAACGACTTCGTAGATCGTAACTGGCTGTAAATTTCGAAAACGAGAAGTACCTATTCAAAATGTCAGAACAGACAGTCTGAGGACCGAATTCAACAGACGTCTCGACCAAACCAAGGCTCCGGCTCTACAGTCTCCGACTTCCGAGTCTCGTGTTTACAACTACAGGCTATGGCGCTATGCCACCATTTCGTGATTTGTTTCTCAATGAATAAACGAAAAAATAAATGGAGGGGGAATAGGGATGCCCCCAATAAGTGTTAGCATATGTGGTCACCCTGATTTATGCGGGAGCCAATCGGAGCACCGTATTCATTTCTTGTCTCGATGCATCGAAGGTACTAGGTGGTGCGTGATCTCGAAATTTGGCGCGGACCGCCGATAACAGACCGGTTTTGACCTGCCGGCGGCGAGCGCGTCTGGATGTCAGAGCTAGGAAGTAGGAGGGGACAAACGCTGCCGCTAGAAACGACAGCAGCACATGACGGCCGCAATTACATTTTTTTTCTGTAAAACATGCCAATTTTGTTCCAATAATACGGCTTACTGAATGGTTTTAGAGCAAAATACCTTTATTAAAAGTTGTAGAGGAGAGTTATATCGGGTGCGTGTCGAGACTCGATTTTTGATATTTCGTTCTCAAAATCGATAAAATCGTTTTGCGTTTTCACTTTTTTTCACTTTTTTACATGTGAATAATTGGTATAAAAAATTAAAATATCAAAAATCGAGTCTCGTCACTCACCCGATATAACTCTCCTCTACAACTTTTAATAAAGGTATTTTGCTCTAAAACCATTCAGTAAGCCGTATTATTGGAACAAAATTGGCATCTTTTTGTACGGTATTTTTGCCCGTGTGGCGTCCTCTTAACCGGCGAGAAAAATAACGCACCGATTGCAACGGGTTGGTTGTTGGTTGGAGTGTTTGGAGTGTTTGGACGGTAAACGGAAAAAATATCCCCGAAAAAAAACGTCCTCGTGAATAAAATATAATAAATAAAAAAAAATTGTACCTATAACATAGAGTAATTATTACTCTATGATCAATTGTTAATTTTATTTTTTTATTGAAACTAATTATTCAAGTAATTAGTAATTATTACTTTCACACAAGTTTTTCTCATTAAGGCCCAATAGGTAACAAAAATGAAGTTACGATGGTATTCAATTACGTTTAATTCCGAAATAAATATTATATAAATAATATTTTTATTTGTCTAATAGGTACCTTTATGGCTTTATCGGCTTTATCTAATGGGCAAGTGCGAAAAAACCATTACTACACAGTACAAACGGTATCTACTATCTTATGATTATAAAAATAACAAAATTAATGTTTGTCACGGTCTTATATACAGTATAAAAGACCGTGATGTTTGTCGATCGATAAAATTGAAGATATTGATATGTTTACTGTTATTACCTAGTCTGTGTTCGATCGTTATAATACATGTAATTCGTTGTTATTTGTTACATGTAATTCGTTAAGTGTTCCGTGATCAGTAATGGAAAGATTAAAATTGAATAAAAATAGCTGGTAACGAAGACGTTGCTTTAAAAGGTTATATGTATACAAAACAACGAATGTAAGCACTGTATTCGGTGGAAATGTGTGAAAAGTTGTTCATTTAAGTGCCCAGCTAGGTATATTAAAATCAACATTATTAAACAAAAAAAGTCTTTAGTGCTCATCACGGTCATAACCACGCATCAAGCCGTAAAATCTAAAATTAAAATTAAATAAATTTCTAAAGTTTTTGGTTTTACACCTAGTCAAATTTTCAATGAAGTAATTAACTCAGTACCTACCTAAACAAGTTTTAATGAAAATGCTTAGGACGCTTAGGTACAGAAGAACAAATATAAAACAAACGATCCCATTGGATATTTTGATTAATTAAATTTGACTTTATGTTGCCTAGTGGATGATATATTTAATTAGTAGGCGACAACGATTTTTTGTAAAAATGTTGATGTTTGAAATTATTATAGAATTTTACTTATTGATTATTTATTATGTTTAATTTTGTTATTTATTTATGACGTACATAATTTCGTTTGACAAATAATTTTTGAGAATGGAAAACGCATGGTCCGTTCGCCGTAGCCCGTAGCCCCGTAGGCGTCCATTATGCAAGAAACCAATTTTTTCCACGCGGCACCCGACAATGCTACAAGTTTCATCTGATCGCGTCAGTCGTCCAGGAAAATATCTAAAAATTGTTTTTGATTTTATTTTAGTCCTTGTTCTTTCAACCTATAAGCTAAATAATTTTTATTTATTTTACTTTGGACGGTTTAAAGTTTAAACGTTCAAGCCTTCGAGCCTCGAGGTAATACGTCATACGATATTACGACGACAGGATGATTTTCGTCTTTCGTAAAGTATAAAATAATTAAAAATCTGATATTTTATACTTGGACTTAAACTAAATACAGTATCTATTTTCAATAGTTATAATATATTACAAAATACAATAATACTAAATATAATCAGAAATATATACTAGCATAATATGATACGTATATTATTACCTTTGGTTATTCAAAACTAGTAAAAATAGTAGTATTTATTAATTTATAATCAATGGTATTACGTATTGGTGTAAATGTGTAATATTAATAATATTCTGTGAATAGTAAATGTAATAACTATTGTTTTAAATTAATTAATATTTATTAATTAATATAATCTATATCTATACTAATATTATAAAGAGGAGAGATTTGATTATTTGTATTGAATAGGCTCCGAAACTACTGGACAGATTTTAAAAATTGTTTTACCATTAGAAGCCGACATTATCATTGATGAATATAGGCAAATTTAAAAAGTGAATTGATCACCCAGGGGAGGTGCTCAAACTGGAATTTTGAGATTTACGATAGAAATTTGTGTTTAAAAATAGTTGCTATGGGTTTTAAAGCTATTATAATAATAAATAATAATTATTGTTTGTTGTTTATTGAAAATGGTGGCTATTGCCTATTGATCATAGGAGAAGTAGTTAGTAATGTTAGTATAATATGTCCGTAATGCCTACGACTGTGATGTACGACCGTTATCGGCATCATGGTGGCGTGTGTATAAACAATACATTACATTACTGTTTAGTTTTTTTTCTCATTTTAAAATGCCCAAAAGAACAAGATCTCAACTTTCTAGAAATAGTTCACAGGCTAGGCCGCTAGGGCAATAAAAATACTTGCAATTATTTTCACGGGCAACGCCGTGCGGGTACGTCTATCTATATATATATATGTCTAGGGCATTAAAAGTTACGTTTTACGACAAATGTATTATTTAATGTATATTGTATATCATTGTTCGGGGTGGCTGAATTGCACTTACTGTTGCGAGTTACATCCAAAAAGATTTAAGCAATCACAAATTTTTAAGGGCAACGAAGTGCACGGGATCAGCTAGTATTTAATATTTTGGATCATTATAACTTTTTTTTAAATTTTTGTGCTATGTTAGATAGCATAGCTTTTCTCCCACCAGTCCCACCAAGTGTCTATAAGTCATGTCAAGGAAGGAATGGATAATAATATTATTATATTATTATTAGTCTCAAAATGGCGGAGTAGCATACCTAGGGCTAGTATCTATAGTGCCCTAGTAAAACCCATAAGCGCAATTTGAGTTAAATTTATGGGGGTGTTAGATTTATGTCGACTAAAGTGATAAGTGGCGGGTCCTTGCCCTCACACCCCCTTCATTCATAAACGTTAATTTTATACACCTTCGCATTAATGTTAATATAAACAATTACCTATAGGCTATAACATAATACATAATATTATTATCTATATTGTTATTCTGATAGGTACCCATGTATTATTCTTATTATGAAAATGATAGGATCTTAGAAACAAATGTATCCAAATACTTATAGTCAATAAAAATTCAATGATGATATCAAAAATTTGGGGGTTCTAAGCACCCCCAAGCATCCCCCAAATTGCGCCTATGGTATAACCATAGAAGTAAAACCTAAAACGTAATAATTACTAATTAGTGAACTCTGTGTTATTGTGTTAATAAATTTGTTTTCTCGGGGACTTTTTGGCCCGTATTCCGTAATATTATTATGTTCCTTGTTCAAAAATACCAGTGTATCCAACTGATCACCGACACGGTAAATATTTTATCGTTTATTGTTATTTGCAAATCGTTCATACTGTTTACTGATTCCCCCCCTTAAATTTGCTGGATAACGTTCGGCGCCGGCGCACGAGCTCAACTAGCAAGCGTACTGCGTACAACTGTCTGTTGTACAACGGTCAACGACCAACGTTTTTCGATTTTGAATATTATTCAATTTACTATCAAAAAAATTCGTCCATTTCAGCTTATTCACTTTTCGTTATTATTTAATATCTTGATATTTAACAGTTGTGCAACAGTCTGACGATGAAGACGGTTTCCGAAAATAACAGAAACATTCCGGACAAGGTAAATTTTATTTTATATTCAAATAGGTAGGTAAATAATAAAATCAAATCAACCGACCAGCAACTGGTATCGAGTAACCTAACGATTATGTTGAACCGAACACATGGAATTTGTTTCAGATGTCCAACAAAAAAGGTGGTCCCAGAAAGTTCTTGCAAACATTGCAGCCGTCTGGCGGTGACAAAGAAAATTTGGTTGGGACCGGCAGATTTCGTGAACATAAGTATGAATTTATTTTTAGATTTATAGTATATTAATTACTAGTATTTATATTAATTTTATGTATAAATGTTTTACATTAGTTCTGATACTAAAATATCGAAGCCACAATTTAAGACTGAAGTAGAAGTAAAATCCAATGAAAAAAAGTGTTTATTTTCAAAAGTAAATCCATCTCAATACAAGAAGTTAATTATTGAAGATCTCACTAGCACTAGTATGCATTTACTATTTATATCTTGTACTTAATTGTTTTTATAAACAATATGCTGATTACAAATTTAATCATAATGAACTTGTCATTTTAGATGGTCCTAGTGAAAAATACTGGGAGGTTATTGCAGAACGTCGTAGAAAGGCTTTGGAAGAAGTTCTTGAACAAAATCGTAAATTACATACCATAATCATGGCATTGGAAGAAGAAAATACATCTTGTAAAAAATTACTCGAACAAACAACTGATCTTGTTAACACATTAAAGGTATATATGAAATTGCTTATTCACAGAAATACACAATTATTATGCAAAACTGTAAATTGAATCAACAAAATTTTATCTGATTGTAATTGAAGAAATGGCTATATTTTTCTATTTTTAGTTGGTTATTTGGTAATCCAATAATTATACTAAAATATATTTCATTAAAATACATAAACAAAAACTAATTTAGCTTAATACAATTATAGGAAGTACTAAATGAAGAAGATGATAAATCAACTGAAGATAATGTCGATAATTACATTTCGTCAATCAACTCCAATCAAATAAACAGCAACAATGATTTTTCTGGCAGTGAATCTGAATAAATTTTTTCTACATTTTCATTTAACAAATAATTAATTTTTTTCAAATTATTCAATTGATTTTTTTTTTTGTTCCTACCAAGTATTAATTTATTTTGAATTAAACTTAATCATATCAATATTTTTTTAAGTAAATATTTATTTTTGAATGTAGAACTTTGTTTTTACTTTTTTGAACAGTTTTTATGTTAATATACATTCATGTGAAAACAACCATGATCTGTTAATCTATACATTTTTAACTAAATTGGTTTACAATATTTAGCATACATATTGAAACAATAAACTAATTTATAAGTAATTAAAGGAACTTAGATAGTGTTTTTATTTTTAACAACTTTCAATGACTTTTATTACTGTATATTATGTTCTATTTTAATTATTAGGTTTCTTAACGATTCATAAAGATACTTCTAACAAATTTGGATAATCTTTGTATGTATATTTAATTATTATAGTAAGTCAAAAAAATAATAATTTTATCTTCAGTTAAATGTACATATTAAACTGTTTTAACAGTACGCATATACGTAACTATGTCATACCTCTAGATTTTTTCAAAGGAAGTTACTGATTTTAAGTATGAATTTTTATTCTCCAAAATGGAACTATTGTTAGGAATATTATACCGAAAAAAAGGTATAGATACTTTTACTTGGTATCGAATCGAATCAAAATATCGATACTAATTTTTTTTTATTAGTATTTTATGTATAACATATAATAACTCATGTTACATTCAAAAATATACATTTTGTCAGTTATAAAATCATAAAAATCTAACATTAAAACCAACATTTGTCGAGTAGGTCACTTAAGAATAAGTTTCTGTAGGCGAGAACTGGATAAACGATTTCTATTTTGATTTTCTTTAGCACCGGCTTTTGAGAACAATCACATGGGACTGACTATGTACAATGGAAAAATGATTCGATTCGAGTAGAGTATCGATACCAAAAAGTACTTGTATCGAGAGAAAGTTTTGATACTGTACTCATTTCGATAGTATCGCAACATCTCCAACTATTGTATGTCAGTGTTTAACTCTTGCTCTGCACACTGCTTCTCATTGGCTTTCTGTGTTTATCATGTGACTCACTGGTTTGTTCAATCTTTCGAAAGTTGTTAAAACTTTTTATTTCCACTTATCTCTCTTCTTTTTCTGTTATAATATACCGGAGTTTTGGCATATCAAAAATTCCTTTAAAAAAGTCCCGTTAGTGGACATTTGGTATAACAGTTGTTTTTATCTATATACTATCATTTAATATTGAATAATTTTCACACTAACAGTATTCTACAAGAAAATAATCAGATTTAGCGTATCACAAGGTGTCGACCTAGATGATAGCCGTCATCCAAGACCAAACATTTCTGATTGGTGATGCACAGATTCCTTTTCTTTTGTAGTTCTTGGGGGAGCATCGGTCAGCAGACTGTTTATTCTCTGTGGACTATATACTCTGTTCCATCTAAGAGTGAACCGCTTTCGAGCACGCAGACTGAGCCGCCGAACAGTGCCGACCCATCATGCGATGGCTATGCTTTCTGTGATTGGCGGATAGTGATCGTCGGACGCCCGTGTCAAGACTCCCACCGATGTCCGGATTGTGGTGGAAATGCGCGGAAAAAACATGTTTTGGTCAGCCAAGTGGTTCACTCTTAGATGGAACAGAGTATATTAACAAATACATTACATAAAATTAAATAAACACAATAGATTTATTCATATTGGTAGCCAATCAATAATTTTAAGGATAAGGCAGGGGTATAAGGAATATATTTCATATGGAACCTAAAGAAATTCAAAATTGTATAAGATTTGAAAATTAAAACATGTTATATTATAATAAATTGTACATTTTATAAATGTTATAACAAATAGTTCTAAATCTAATTAAATTGTTTCCATAACCTTTGGAATTCTTGTCTGAAAGGATTAACCAATTCACAATTGTTTGTAATGAATACATTTTCCCAATTTGCTCGAACTGACACTTTAGTCCAATTCATAGAACCCAAGATCACTTTTTTGTTATCAATAATAATAAACTTGTGGTGCATTAAATTTTCATTATGTTTACCTTTATTTACTCTTTTTAAGATACCTATATTACCCATTTTCCATGTAGTTTGGAGATTATCTTCATTTAGAATTAACCTGACACTAACTCCACGCTTATGAGCATCAATAATTGCATTTGATAGCAATTCATGATTCAACATGTACATACAGATGTCCAAAGTTTTTTTTGATTTATTGAGCCATCCAATAATTATGCTAAGTTTGCACTGAAAGCACTCATTGTTTTGAATTGTGGTTGTTATAGTTGTTATATTTCGGTGAAGATTGCAAAGTGGCAGAGTTCCATAAAAAAATAACACTTCTGTTTCTTCTTGGTGAAAATAATTGTACAATAAAGTTGTAAATGCTGCACTACAGCAGGCTATTGTACAACTTCCTAGGAGACGAATTGTAGTCATATTTCTGTAAGAAAAAAAATTCTATATTTTAATGCAATAAAATTCAGAACACGGCTATAGATATGAAGTATGTGCTTCAGAGTAGGTAATAAACATTTTATACAAAATTGAATTTAAAATCAATATTACTATCACTGTTATATAAGATTGAATATTTCAAAATGTAATTTAAGATTTAACAACATTACTTTACACTCAGCTAGTTAACTTATTTTAACTAAATAAATCGCTTAATTTTTAAAAACAAAGAAACTATCTATTTTTATTTGAAATTGCTTATTTTTGTTTTAATATGTAACTATTATCTACTACAAGATGTAACTAATCTTTGTTTTTAAAATGGCCACAATGAGATAAAAGATTTATTCTAGCAAATATTGATGGATAAATAAGTATAGGTAATCTGAAATAATGAAAATTTAAAAAATCAGATTGTAGCCAAGAATGATAATATATGAACGGTAGTAGTACTGCCTTGCACAGTTTTAAATTATTATGAATATTAAGTTTTGTAGGCAAGTTATTTGCTTTAGGGCCGTTCTTACGACGTCCGGTTAAAGTTAACCGACACTTAACCGGAAGAATTCTGCCGGTAATAAAATCTGTTATCAGTCGGTTAGCGTTAACCGACACTTTACCGGACATTGTAAGAACGGCCCTTAGTCAACTATTGTTTCATTGTGTATGGTGTACTGGAAAAAACTTAATATCTAATCTTAATGAATAAGAACTGAACATTTTTCAAATATAATTAGAAAAGTACAATTATTTTATTTTCAATAAAGTCGTATAGGTAAATATAAAATAATTTCATACTTAATGTTCTATGTTCATAATAAATTGTGGAAAATATTTTACAATATCATAATGACTGAAACAATTAATAGTAACCACAATTTAATGTTTTAATGTATACATTTATTTCTTTCCAAAGTATAAAAATGAATGTACTAACTATAATAATATAACTATAACTATAATCTCGGGTAAGTCATGAATATAATGTAACATGTACAAAAGTATAATACTATTCTACCATAGTCCATAGACGATAGACTTGACTTTAGTAAAGTTTAAAAAATATCAGTGGAAAATAATAACAATAACATTGATAACAGCTTATCAACACACGTGGGTAAAACCTGTCGAAAAATCATAGCAGAAGCCGGAATTACAGAATTCAAAATAAGTTTTAAGATTTAAGTAGATACTAGATACTATTATTACCCATTTAGTACTTTTATATTTCTGTTACTTTGTTTCTTTTTCTTCAGTCTTTATAGTTTGTTAACTTTTGTCAGTGTCTCACTGTCTCGCATAATGGCTTTCATACGACTGTAAGAATAGGTAATGGGTAATAATAGTGTATCTTTTTTGTTTATTCTGTTTAAATCATTCGAAAATTGAAAATGTATTCGTTAGTGATCTGACGTTTGATTTATTTTATTATTTAAAATGTAACTTTCTATGTTTTCTTCGCGACTTGCATATTATTTTATACCATTATTATCATTATGGACACAATATTTTTGTCCAACATACCAGATTCCAAAGGGATGACTATGATTCAAAAATTCTTTGCATCGGATACTGTATTGGCCACTGGTCTTTTCAACCAGTATGTCTTACTAAAAATATCAGACGATTCCAAGATATTGTGTAAACTGATTCCTCAAGTGATCTGTACAAACACATTTGCCAGTTGTGATCCAAGCGTTATTTTGCATGCACCCCAGAAACTAATCAATCCGTTGACAGTGAAACTTGAAATGCCTATTAACAAAGAGCACATAGAACCAATTTGTGTTGCCAATGCTAAACGTATGGTAGTCAGTGTCGTATTTAAAGATGTGAAACATCAAAATATATGGTCCAAGAATCTTTTTAAGTTGGCTGATGCCATCAAACATATACTACGTTTGTTTGTAGTACATAACAATTGTATAGTGAACTTAAAAAGGCTTAATTTAAAACAAAACTTGAATATTGATTTTATACTTATACACAAGACTGATTGCAAGAACAATGCTGCACGTATTAATCCAGATACTACCATAATGGTTATTAAAACGATGTCTGCCATACAATTTTATCAGGCAGAAATTGGATCAGAAGTGCCACCTTTATTTGGTATGGAATCTCAAGTGAAATGTCTGAAAAACATCATTAAAGCTGCAAGAAATGGCTGTCGTCCTTTGTGTAATATGGTAAGTATATTATTGAAATTACACATAGACACATATTTGTAAGTATATTGTTAAGTTATGTAAATGTGTATGTCTTGCATTTGTAAAAAAGGGCTCAGCCTGTTTAATCTTAATAAATAACTTAATATTTATTACCTAAATACAATTAACTATTTTTCATTATTTAGATATTATTGATCGGTCCATCTGGCAGTGGAAAAACAAGTTTAGTTCTTCATGTTGCTGCATCATTAAAGTGCATACTTTTTAACTTAATATCTACAGATTTCATAAATGCTGATCCCGGTTCTACAGAATCAGTTATTCGTGGTTTATTTAAAAGAGTTAAATTATTATTAGAGCAGGATAGCAAAAGTGAATAATAATTTTAATATAAATATATTTTAAAATTTATGAAATTTATATTTTTATAGCCGTGTGTATAATAATGTTTGAGAAAGCTGAAAGTATGCTAAATGGTAAAAGTTCTAACGCCAAACGAATTTGCGCTCAGATACAAGATTGCTTAACATCAGTTAAAAATTGTTCTCGACTTATAGTCATTGCAACTACTAGCATGCTGCATTTAATTGATGCATCTTTTAAACAAGGCTCAAGATTTTCATATGAAGTAATAGTTGTGTTAATTGGCCACATTACAAAGTTGTTTAAATTATATTTCATAATTCTTCTATTTTTTTTAGATTTATATTGGTGTTCCGTCAGAAAAAGAACGAGTAAAATTAATGCGAGGCTTTTGTGGAATTTCAAACATAAATATTCAATCTAATGTCGTGTCATATTTAGCTAAATTAACACCAGGATACACTGCTGCTGATTTAGAATTAATTTTCAAAGAAATTCTCAATGAATCTCGTTTAATTTCTGAATTGTATGTTAATATTTAGTTAAAGTTATAATAATATTGCCAAATTAAAAATCCAATTTATTTATGAATTTCAGAGAAATGGGCGTATTGTTTGGTACTATTTCACTTATTTCCAAGTACCCAGCTTCATCTTTGAGATCAGGAATTGGTCAAATCATTACAAAGTCAGAATCTTGTTCAACTACAAATTTGGGTGGCTTAAAAAATGTGAAACTAATGTTAGATATTTGTATTAAATGGCCTCTTATTCATCCAAAAGCTTTTAAATATTTTGCAGTTCCACCACCTAAAGGTATGGACTACATAAAGCATATGCCTAATACATATTATGTACTATATTCTTTTTTCCATCAATAATTTTTGATTGTATTGTGATATTTATTATTAGGAGTTTTACTTTATGGACCTCCAGGATGTGGTAAAACAAGCCTTGTACGTTCAATAGCTTCATCAGCCAATTTAAATGTTCTTACAGCGATGGCTGCGGAATTATATTCTCCTTATTTAGGTGTAACAGAAGCAAATATTTCACAATTGTTTCAAAGAGCTAGAGCTAATGTTCCAGCTGTATTGTTCATAGATGAGATAGGTAATAAACTGACTACTTAATATGTATAAAATGTTTTCCTAACCATTTTTTTTATAATCTTCAACACGTTGACTGCGTACTGATGCCAATTGGTGTCATAAGTATCATTCAGCCACGCGTTTGACGCCATATGGCGTCTAATATAAATTTAAAATTTCTTACGCGTGGCTGAATGTTATTTTATTATTATTTAGCTTGGATTAAACGCATGTTTTTAAATATGTATAAATACGTCACTATGAGCAGTTTCTTTGTTTTTTTTTTTAAATTTATTTTGTTTTTACTTTTATCATACTCACTGGGTGAAAATTGTAAAACGTCATACTCAGTCTACGTATTAAAAGTTGTAATATTAATATCATTATTTATTTATTTGTATTAGATTCATTAGTCAGCTGTCGTTCTGAAGAAAAAAAAGGGTCATCTGGGTTTGATGACCGAGTTTTATCAACATTTTTGGTTGAAATGGATGGTATCACAAATGATACAGAAGTATTTTATATTTAAAATAATCAAAATTGAAACATATATAAAATTATTTAAATCATCTTATTAAATATTAATAGTATGGGCAAGGAGTTGTAGTTGTGGCAGCGACTAATCGTCCAGACAAAATTGATACTGCTTTATTAAGACCAGGAAGATTTGATCGTCAAATCTATGTGCCTCCTCCTCAAACAGCTGAAGAACGTTTTAACATACTTCATACTATTGTTAATAATCCTGAACAAAGGTATACACCATACAGTTTAATTTAAATAATTTTTAAACTTCTGTCTGTATGTGCCTTTTTAATTAATTTAGTATTAAATATTAATTTTTAGTATGCCATTATCAGATTCTTCAATTTTGAATGAAGTAGCCTTAATGACAGTTAGGTTTTCAGCAGCTGATCTTGCGAGTGTTGTAAAAGAAGTAAATATAAAAATATTATTTAAAAATTAAATAAATAATTGTTTTGTTTGTTTTTTTAGGCTGGTCTAGCTTGTTTGACTAAAGATGGTCTTGAGACATGTACAACAGTTAAAAAAGAACATTTTGAGGAGGCATTAGATAATTTAAAACCATCATTATCTGAAGAGCAAATTGCATGGCAAGTATAGTTGTATTATACACTTATCATTTATATGCTCAATTTTTATAATGTATTTATTATTTTGTCCATAAAATTTGATTTTGTTGCCGCTTATTAAGGGAAATCAGCAACATTATCTGCTAAAATGTCTCTAGACACAACTTAAAGTTAGCAATTAAAATAAAAATATACAATTCATTTCGATTGAGGTTAACAATTAATTGTTGAAAAAACAATAAGATAATTATTATAAAGTGGCATCTGGCTACAGTTACCTAATGTTTACAGTTCAACTAAAATTTGATTGTTATATAGAGAACTAAAAATAATAAAATAATACTCATCTTGGAAATATTAACTTTTGATGATATAATTTTTAGAATTATATGATTAGCGGTTATTGTAATTTCTAATAATAAAATATTAAATGTATATTATGTCAGTGGCGTATATACTATATACTAGTATATAGAGATAATTTTTGGGGTGGACTATAGTAAATAGAAACTAGCAAGTGATCTATTACTTAGAGGCTACTGTCTACTATATATTTAACAGTTTCTATAAATATATTCGTATTTGTTATTTTTCAACAGGCTATGAAATATTATAACTTATAATAGTACCTAATAAAATATATTGTTCTATTTAAAAAGACTGTAATTTCGGGGGGGGGGGGCTGCAGCCCACTGTGCCCACCCACTATATACGCCACTGTATTATGTATATTATGAAATACAAGTAGTTTATTTAATATTATATATTTATGCATCTAGTCTTTGTTATTGTTTTCAGGTATTGCAATTTTTCCTCTCAGCAAAAAAAGTAAATATATTATAGAAAGAAAACATATAGTTTAATATTTTGGAAGTGATTGAATAATCTTGGTTTTTGTAGGATGCCTCTTGTTAACCTAAATGTATGAAATAAATAAATATAATATAATGAATTACTATTTATTGATGCTTTCCAAATATAAGTTTATTTTTATTTTTTAACAATTTTTTGCTCTTAAATCATTAAATTTCCAATTGTAATTATATTATTATTATCTGAAAAAAATCATATTGCATACGAGTGTGCAATAAAGTACTAAATGTTATGTCTTTGTTGTCCTTAGTATCATATGTAGCACATACCTAGGTAATATTATAATATTAATGCAGTCTCACCTAACTATCGCGTGATAAGCGCGTATATCGAGTTTGAATCTCCGGGTAGAAAAATTATATTTTTCATTTTTTTTTTCGTAACGTAAGACTTTATGTAATGTAAGGTTTTTAGATTTCTAATACACTGATTTCACGGCAACCAATATTTATTATTATAATAGTTTTAAAACCCATGGCAACCATTTATAAACAAATAATAAATAACGTAACGTTTTTCAATTCTATATGCCAAAGCAAAGACATAAAATGTCAAAATCATTTGAGTGTTGAAGTTTTATAACATAACAATTTGTAAAAAGCAATAAAAGTATGTTTTTTTGTGAAGAAATTTTGATTTATTTCTTTAAATACTTTTTAATGAAATATGATCACTAATCACTATTTCACTTTACTCTATATTATGAAACAATATTATATAAACTATATAATGAAACCATTGTGTTTAAGACCTACCATTCTTAATTATTATATTAAGTTAATTTAAAAAAAAAAACTATTGTTATAGACTATTAATCATGGTAATAAATTTTAAAAACGAATGTAGTTACAAGTACACTTTTATTGTACATTCGTACCTACTTAGATACTAATTAATTAAAAATATAAACTAGGCATATACTGATTTATAATATATATTACATTTATTTCAAAGTGCTAAATAAATAATAAAACGTATTAGTCTACAACAAAATATATTTTATTAATTTTCAACCTAAATTAACCTGTGGGCTATAGCACAGTGCATTTCTATGTTGATGATAACATTAAACAGAATATTTGTATATAATTTACCTATCGTCAGGGATACTCAAGATTCTTAAAACAGAGTAGGTACTGCAATTATACTAGATATTTGTACTTGGAAAATTATGATACCATATGCTACTAGCTACCTGCTTATCTAGTTGTGACATTGTCATAATATCTCGATACTTAAAATTTCACTAATTAATTATTAGATACTCAGAAGTTTTAAAAATGATACATAAATTCAATAATTTTGATGACGAATATTTTCAAAGTTATTTTACTGCTATTTAGATAGTCAAAATAAAATGAAAATCTGTTCGCTATCTGAATTTAATAATTTTATTATTATAACTTACCTGTAACTATTAGTTATGGATAGGTAGTTTAGATATAGATAGGTACTAGATACTGTCAATTAAAAATAGGAAAAAAATGTACAGATTCATGTATCATCAATACTGACTTTACCGGTATCTTTGTCTATTGCATATAATATTAAATATATATTAATATGTAGCATTCATTTGTTGATGGCTCAATGCTAATGCGTTCTTCAAGTACAACATCCACGGGTGGTCTTTCATTTGCAGCATAGTAGAGATCCCAGTAATCAATAAAACTAAAATCTATAATAACATAGTTATGTAATCAAGAGAGATATATATTATTTTCATTATTATTAAGTTTCCTGACTTATAAACACGCCTAAAATAAATTTTCATTTATAAAATTATTAATTAGGTAGTAATTACAAATATATAGGTACCTAATAAGTAATAACTAATAATTACAAATAAGGATAATTACAAAATATTGGACATTTCAGGGGTTGCAAATTTATACTTTTGCGATCCCTGCATTATATTTGGGGTCAAAGTGCTACCTTTTGTGACCCCCAAACTATGCCACTAAAATTTTCTACTGGCACCAGTGGTAGTTTTTAGGAAGGCTCCTAGAATATTTTTTCAAAGGCAGATGAAAAATATTAAAAATCCTTAGTCACAGTTTTTTTTTATAAGCATTTAAAGTTCAAAAATTAACAAAATATGGAAAAATCACGAAAATTAGCAAATTATTTTGAGTTGGAAATTCATAAAAAATTTTCACTTTCCCATCGAACAAGATACTGTTAAAGAAAATCGAAGCAGTTTTACTGCCCTCAACCGTGATGACAGACACAACAATAAAAATTAATAAAAAATAAAAAAAAACACACATCATTGTAAAATCAATACATTATACATTCATCGTTTCACTCAGAATCTAAAATAATTTTGTATTTAAAAATGTATAAAATGTTTAACTTTTATCCCTAAGGATTGAAAACTTACAACAAGGTTCTACGTAAGTAGGTTATTCTGTAACCAAAAATTTTCAAAAATATAAAAACAGTTTTTCTTATAGTTATTTTATTTTCGAATTTGGAGTAAATTACTTATTAAATAACCAAGAATAACAGTTTTAGTTATTTAGTTGTAATCTTATTATATTAATTCAACTTACCGGCTCCCGTATTAATAATAAGTAATAACAATATAAATATAATATAAAATATCCACACTGACAAGTCGTCACCGTCACCGTGGCTTACCCACCAGTGGCTTACCCACCTTTTTTAGTTTTGAACACCAATACACAGAATATTAAATAACGAATTGAACAAAGTTTAAATCTTATAAGAGTTTTTATTCTTAACAAGCAATGAAGTGCACTGGGTTAGCTAGTTTTCTATAATTATATATATTAATTATTCATACTTAATGATCCATTTCTCCGATTTTCTTGCTGCTATGACGATGGACCAATATTTACAAATATTGAAGTAAAATAGTATATAATGACTTCCCATATTGAATATTACATGATAAGTACAAATTAAGAATACAAACATTCGTAAAAGTTCTAAAAATAAATAATACGTTAAGTTCATGTTCCGGTACAATAATCCAGTTTCCATGTTACAACAAAAATTAATTAATCCAACTATTTTAGAAGCAGTTATGAAAATATTTAGCGTGTCTTTAAAAACACTCGTCATTTTGTAATTGTACCGAAAAATAAGCACCTGCTAGAGATTTCTCGTTTTATTAAAAACAAATGGCTATTATTAATATTGTTATTATAATTTATTATATCAGGTTTAATGGTCACGTTTATCGACCATTAATTCGATAACAATTAGAGCATAACATAATTATTAATTTATGTTAAAGACAGTAGCATTTAATATTCATATAGGTACTATTATTGTTTTAAATATTGAATACTTATTACTTATACCTAATCCAATTTTGTTAATATTTACGTAATAAAACAATAAAACTTCATTAGTTGTATCAATATTGACATAATTTGTTTAGCTATATAATAAATGTATACACATTCACAATAATATAAATATTACATTTTATAGTAATAATTTGTAGGTACAAAGAGTAGGTACCTAATAAAATAAAACAAAAAAGGTGGGTAAGTGGATGTCGCTCTGCTGTACAGTAGGTTACAAGTGGGTCACTGTATAATGGATGCTATTAAATTTGAATTCAATGATACAATATCATGGTATAAGAAAAACGATTCTGAGAGAAGACGGTATGTCAGTCTAGGTTTAAGACAAATTATATACATATCAATGGTATTAAAAAAAAATTGACCTATAATAAATTCCAAATTAATCATATCACATTATCACAATATCCATTAGGTACTTGTAACACGTTATACATCAACATCAATAACAAACCTTGATACTATCATAGATATATAATAGTACACTTTAGAAGTTTCAAGTAGGTACCCACGAATAATATTATATAATCACAACAAAATAACTAGGTTTTTTAATATGTAATTTCGTCCAAATTTGAACATAAAATGACTATAAAAATAAACTGTGTATGTATATTTTTTAGATTTTTCGGTAAGAAAATTAACTACTTACGTGGAATCTTGTTTTAAATTTTCAATCCTTAGCTATAAAAACTGAACATTTTATAATTTATTAATTACGATGATTAATAATTTTCGAGATTTTGAAAAATTCTGTCAAAATTCGATGTTTAAATGCTTATAAAAAAAATTGTGCTTATGTATTTTTAATATTTTTCAACTGATATTGTAACAATATACCAGGAGCCTTGTATTAAATTTTTACACTTTTTTGCCCAACAGATAAAACTTTATTGATATTCATAGAAAAAAAAACTAAAAAAATTGAAAAATGAAAATATCCGTAAACAGCTCAAAAAGAGTCAAAATATTTTCAAAATTGTATGGTGTATAGGAAATGCTAATATAAACATTCAGTGAAATTTTCATGTATCTATAGTTATTCGTTTATGAATAACAACAAAATAAGGAAATCGCTACATGAGTAATCGAGTGAATATCCAATGTTGTAAAAATTTGAATTTCAAACGCTCATAAAAATTTAATTTGACTGTCCGGTAGAGATTTTTTTATCGATAAAGGTAGATAATCTTATAAGGAATCTTGTCTTTCATTTTCAAATCTTAGATTTTTTTCATTTTCGTGATTTTTCCATATTTTGTCAATTTTTGAACTTTAAATGCTTATAAAAAAAAACTGTAACTAACGATTTTTAATATTTTTCATCTGCCTTTGAAACAATATACTAGATGCCTTTTATTGAATTTTCAAGATTTTTTAACCAACATATAAAATTTTATTGATATTTTTAAAAAAAAACTAAAAAAAAATGAAAAATGAAAATGTCCCTAAACAGTTCAAAATAAATCAAAATATTTTGAAAATGTTATCGTGTATAGAAAATGCAAATATAAACAACCAGTGAAAACTTCATGTATCTACGGTCATTTGTTTTAAAATTACACCAAAAACCAAATTCAATTTTCTGAAAAATCAATTTTGCGTAAAAATTCCAGTT